TACCTAACAACCGCAGTGAGTGATGAAATCCCGCGTTGCAACTTGTGAAGTCTACCAACGTGTTTGTAAAGAAGCTTGTGTTTAGAACAGAATCGTTCTGCCAGATGCTGCCAGTGTGTTACCTTGTCCTAACGAACTAAATGTGCAGAGTAGCTGCGTTGAGCTACGTACGCTGTTACATTTTCGGGGCGTGGATTGTTTTTGTAGATGCTCTAAGTTCGATCCCTTAGGGGCATGTATTTTCGTGCTCGGTATCACAAAAAGGGATTCTGGTTTGAGGGAACGATGGAGAGCTATTGGCTCTGATGCTTTTGTGACTTGTGACGTGAAGGTTTTTAAGGATGCATCCAAGACTATATCTGGGGTACGCTCAGTCATGAATTTGAAAGAAGCGTTTTCGACAAATGCGGACATTAGATGGTAATACGCAATAGGTTGCATCTTTTCGGGCTCTGCATCGGGATATTTGGCGTAGCGAATGTAATCGAGCAATAGGGTCACGTGATCCCATCGACCAAAAAACTACACACGTCTAACCGTAGCCAATTCCACACAGCAAGTTAATAAAACTGTGCACCCTGTCTCCGCCCAGCGGCGATTAACAATCTCCTGGAGCCAATATAATCGAGGCAGTGGCTTTTGACAAGTAAGCACCTTGTCAACACCTAGACCAAATGCAGTCAGACCGAGGACATCAAGCAGCAAATGCAGTCAAAATGTGACAATATAAGCTCACAGGTACACGTATAGACCACAGCAGCGGTGATGCAGCACACGTACTACATCTGCCGCATTATTGGCCCGGATTGTTAAATAGAACTGCGAGTACCGTACTTACCATATACTGAAACATACTTATTCAACTTATTTATCACGTCTTTGATACTGACTCCCTGTGGTTAGATTAATGAATGACCAGACCTACTCGGCTGAGACACACACAACCGCATGTGTTACAGCAGCAGGTGGCTGACGTCGACAGGCTGCGTTCCATCGACACCTGTCGGTTCAGTACCCGACGTTTTTCTTAATAATGCAACAGTGCCTTCTGATGCATATACGTAGCTAGACTTTTGATGTACCCAAGCTATTAGAGAGTATCCACTGTCATTGCTTTCCAACACCTAAAGCCAATAGTAGACTGTGTTAATTTCCCCTTGTTCATGTCTGTATAGCGTAGTTTCGGTATGGTTATATTTTGCTCCCCTTCAGGCAGTAGGACATACAGTACGGCGTTTTGGTATCCTGTTCGCATCCATAAGGCTGACATGTCCGAGCTGTGTCAGGTGTCGCAGTAGCAGCGTACTATCCATTCCGTACATATCGTGCAAACCGAGCACTTCTCTGGCCGGAACTCTGTCGTACAAACAGATGCTCAGTAACCAAGGCAGGCGCAGTTGATAGAAGCGTTTCAGATATAAAATATCCTTCCAATACAGCGTCCATGTTTCCCTGCCATAGAGAAGTACCGTGACTACCACTGACTTGTATACCAGCAGGTTGGTTCTGAAGGTCACCTGATGATTCACATACAGTGCTTCAGCTTGACAAACGCAGCACTCGCCTACAATATACGAGTGCGAAGCTCGCTGGTCATTTGCAGGCCTAACAGTATCCTTCCGAGGTAGCAGAAATGTGTTGAGGATTCAAAAACCTGATCAACTAGCATCACACATGGGCAGCCCATGGAATTCATTCCTGCTGACGGCTGAAAGCGAGGATTTTACATGTGTTGATGGAGAGTCCAAAAATGACCGCCGTTAAAACGAGAGCCGCTATAACATATTACAAAGTATATCCTCATGTGCAAACAACGCACAGTAATCTGCCAACAACAACAACAACAACAACGACAACAACAACAACAACATATGGATATTTGCATCATGCACTTGGGTTCTCACCCCAAAACGATGAATGCTAAGCAACCCATTATCAACACAATGCTACACAAGGAGAACGCAATCACAAGCAACAGCAAAAGCACAAGAAATCATTGCATTTATGTAAGCGTTAAACAGGACAGGGGATAAGACACAGCCTTGCTTCATATCAGAGACAATAAAGTCCATTCAAATGCACTCGCGCCCGATACCAGTGTGCAAACATTCAATTAGACCTGCAAACTTATCTGGGTAAATAAACTTACCCAAAACGAGCCACAGTGCGCCGCGCATTATCATGTCAAATACCGTGATAAGGGTAACAAACAGTGAGTACAATGGCTGATTCCGCTTATGGCACTTCGCCAGAGAGCTGCGAAAACCATAGCTATTGTGCTGCGGCCCGAATGGGATTCGGGCCTGCTCATTAACAATGTTCGGTTCAGCGACCTGAGTGATGAGGCGGTTGAGCAGGCTTAGAGCGGCCACCTTCCTAAAGCAACTCAGCAAGCTAATAGCACGAGAATTTGTGGTACTTTGCTTGCCCCTATTGCGCTCGTAAAGTGGTAGCACAGGGTCATCCTACAACTCAGATGGCACCTCATATTCAAAACACACAAGTTCCACTAAGTGCTGCAAACGCATGTGGCGTTGCGGATCCACCAGTATTCAGCATTTCAGGCAGTACCCCTTCGGATCCGGCGGACTTGCGGTTTCGCAGCTGATCGAGTACTCCCTGAGTTTTATGAAGTGTCGGGATACCCTTTACACATTGTTGCTGCAGCTCGGTCGATCTTCGAACGGATGTTCAAGAGGCAATCGGAGTGATCGCGCAACATCTGTAATCTGTGTGCAGATCGTACATGAAGTGGCGTACACCAGCGTTCTCATCGGCTGTAAGATCATTTTATACATTGTCTTCAAGCGATCATAGAACATCAAATGTTGGCATCGTTCGGCATAACATTCCACTCGCTCCGCCTTTTTCACCTACCGCGCATCCTAGATGCGACGGAGCTCTCGAGTCAAACGTCCATGCACGCTGCAAATTACCCTTCTTTTCTGAGTTACTAGGGTCCTCCGCATTTGTAACGAAAACAGTATTCTTCACTGACAACAATGTACCAACGGTCGCACTGCGGTCATTGAACCAACCGGGTCGCAATCATCTTTCGCGAGTCACCGTCTCATCCGCTGTAGCGGTCACCTATTCTTGAGGTAATATCATAGGTCGCTAATTGAGGCGATATAGCCGACCTAACCAGGACATTTAATTATCGCATTCTCCAGTTCGATCCACTTCTCAGCTCCGCCAGTGCAGGACAGAGAAGCAACACATCGACTGCTGGTGCGCAGCAACCTATGAACACTATAATGAGTAGTGGGGATTTGGGTGTAGTTGTAGTTCGTTGCAGTCCCCTCTCAGTCAGGTAGGCTCTTGCACGTTTGGAAAAGGATCAGTCGGTCGTTTTGACCCCTTCTCAGGCTCGTCAGTCCCTGGTACTCCTGCCGGATTCTGATCCCATGACTTCCGGACACAAGTAGCAGGTGCGGCTAAGCCACGGGTGATGGCGGTGGACTAGCATGACTGACAGTTGACTGGGATGTAGCGTTGCACATCCTCCACTGTTACGAGCTGTGCAGAGAAGAGTGGTTAGCCCCAGCGTTGTGACATTTTACATAACGGCTGTGTACGACACAGCACTTAGAAGCTGTACGGACGGATTGTTGAGTACTAAGGAATAGTGGCTTACAGACACAAGCTGTTGGCATCCGGAAGTCAGAGAGTCGGAACGCAGCAGGGGTAAGAGGAACATGCGCCACTGATGGGACCCAAAAAGTCGAAACGTCTGTCTGATGCTTTTCAGATGTGAACGTCTGCCTGTTTGAGGGAGGACTGCGACAAACTACGTCGACAACTGGTGATCAGTTCCACACTCAGCTCCACGCAGTACACATATCATGCGCATTTCACGAATGTGGCACTGGCCCACAACGGAATAGTCCAGCAGGTATGTCCAAGTAGTAATATCACTAACACTCGGTGGGAACTGTGTTTTTGATCGTCAAGCTATGAGTGGCACGATGAGAGCAGACAGTCACGGTTTCTATTGGCTGAGTCAATACCATACGTCCCGATTAAGTCTGCCCACACTGCGGCATCACGTCCAAAATCCGTATTGAAATCACTCAGTAGGGATAGTCGGTCGCTCCCCGTCCCAGACTGTATTACAGAGGACAACTGGAAGTAAAACTAGTCAACAGTGTCATCTGGATAATACACTAACATCGTGGGGCCATAGGGGCTTATGAAAGTTGTAAACTTATTCCGTCCTTGGTGGATGCGAACTGCATCAAACTTCCATCAGGTGGCCAAGTAAGCGGTCGGATGGTGCAAATCCAACGCAATGTTCGCGCGGTGCCGTGGTGACGTTTCCAACTTAGTAGAACGTGTGACCAGCACCATCCTCGCGCAATTTGCCCTAGCTAGCCAAGCAGGTCTTAATGAGTACAGCAATATCAATGCGATAGCGACCGAGTTCCATGGCGACACCGCCTTGCGTTCTGGCCCGAAAGTATGCGCACGTTCCAGCATCCAATCATGAGAGTCTGTGGTAAACTGTCTTGGTTGTGGTGTATAATAACAAGTATGTGATATATGTTAACGGACACGTATTTCTACTTAGTTGAAGAGCTTTCGTAGCGGAGTTCAAGGATGCGAAACTACATCGACAGCAATCCAGGTTGAGAAGCACTCGCATTGTCGGTATGACAAGTAAATATTTCCAAAATGGTGTGCTGATATTCAGAATGGTGAATAGTCAGGCGTAAACGACTGCAGCCCGAAGCTTTGACATCGTGACCAAGGTGAGGGGCTGCCACATGTGTGCGCAAACTGCTGACGAATGCTGACGTATGCTGCGTAGGGGTAACCCGGTCAACTCATCGCAAAGGGAGCAATATAATCGCGGTAGCCGGAGAAAGGAGCGATGGTCTTTAAGGCCACAGTTGTGATGAGACCAACTGGAATCAGCTACAATAGAAGCACTAAATTCAAGCAGCCGAGCAATGAAAATTCGCATGAAATAACAAGGCCAAATACACTGTGGAACAAACCGTAAGTTGCAATGCTCCACGGCGGCAGCTGCTAAAGACGCACTTGAATGTTTGAAAAATGTCTTGGTGATAAGCCATCCGATAGGAGAAGAATCCGGCTTTTTCAATTTACGAGCAACTTGAACGACAAAATATTGCCGAACTAAGTTAGCCTGAAGAAAAAGAGAAGCAATTATCATACGGACAATATATGACAAAATAAACCAATGCAAGATTAAACAAAGAAAAGATGACCAACGGGTTAATGGAGGGAGGCGATGCAGAAGCAATCCAAAGAATAAGTGAAACCAATCGTTTGAAATTGGAACCTGAAAGCAAACTTGCAATAACCAGCTGTCAGGAAACAAACAGCTTGCAAACTAAACAAAGTTATACCCATGCAAATCATAGTACTACTTACTCGCTGGCTTAAAACAAAAAAGTGCCATACTTGATTGATCCGCATGACAGAACGGGCTGAGGCTTCATCGCCTACAATGTACGTATAAAACAGCCCTAAAAAAGACATTTGATACCTAGTTCTGATGGCCTATTTACTATCTTGTCACACAGGCACAGAACCAATTGGAGCATGGAAGTGCGGATGAAACCCATCATGGAAATACCCTGCATGGAAGCAAGTCCCCCGGGGACAGTTCCATGGATGAGCGTATTGCTTTACTTGCACTTTCCGCAAAATCTACATTTATTATTGTTCCCAGTTTCTTTATCTCTCTACTTTTTCCAAACTGCTAATCAATCCAAAAACCCATATGGGAACCATTGATCAAAAGAGGAATAATTAACTATATTATGCGATCACGTTGTACATGTTGATAAGACCACCCAATTGGTCTGTGCCTCGCACTGCTGAGGAATAAAACGTTTATTTATTACTTATTTATTTCAACACGGAACCCGAGTTTGCAGCGTTGTTAGACAACAACTCCGGTTAGATGAGCAAGCTGATTTGGTAAAGTAGAACAATGAAAGAAGTGAACACCAGGAACTGTTTATCACAAACATTGAGTGGGGGCGCCTCAGAACGCATCAAGGAAGAAAATGCAAGGAAACAAGTTAGAAGATATTGGTGAGAAGATTGCGAATGTGGTACAGTTGAAAATCAACAAGCGATTAAGTTCAAAGCGGAAGGCAGACAGACACGAGAAGGATTCAATATCATCCAAGTTGTGTGATGAATGGTGTTGATTAGCGCCATGTGATACAGCTGGTCCGAAGAAGCATCAAGGCGGATTGTCAAGGAAGCGATGCGTTGAGTGGTGACTAGTATGGCTAAGGAAAACAATGTTGATCTCATAATACGAGTCAAGAAATATTTCGGACAGGTGCGGCAACACAAAGTAACATATACCATCTATCTATCACCGTCTATTATTAACCAGGAAATTATAATAACAATAACAAGGTGAGAGCCGACTCCGATCAAGTTCACAGATTCCGATAGAAAGGCACGTGGATGAGTTTATGGTGATCAGCGGATTAAACGTTTTAGAGTTGGCTGGCAATTTCGGAATTAAAGATAAACAATTGGTCTCTGTCACGAAACGCCGTCAAATATAGAGCTTATAATATACTTACAGAGAACTAACCGAACCAGATTGTTGCGGAAACCAGTCAGGCGATACAACAAGAATACTGCTAAACTGGTCATCCGAGCTCCTCGGAGGTTGCTGCAGTCCAGTGAGAGAAGTGAACTGTGATGCGACAGAAACTAAATCAGAGTGGCGTAGGGCCCTAGAAGTGAAACACTTTCGTAAGACCAAACACAACCTCGTTAACCGATACCAGGCACGAAAGAAACATATCTCGCGCGTGGATCATCAGATCTCAGGTTGTCCCGAGTAGGTGGTACCGCTACACCCTGCTGTCTAACAATGAACAATGATTATAAACGAGTTAAGAAGCAAGTGTTTTACAAGTCCCGTCGGTTTGTCTAGTGTGGATCTGCGTAAATGCCACAATAGAAAACAGCTCGTGAATTTTCAAGAAAAAGCTACTCACTTTTTACGTGTTAGCGATACAGCAGTTATGCGTTCCGCATTCGTTCTACAGCACAATTATGGAACGGTCTGTGAAGCCAGGGTTTCTGTTCTTGGATTTGAAAGAAAAGATAGTGCTAGGTAAAAATATGTAGATGACTGAGTATGTCATCCACCCACCCATTAAATATGGTTAGTGTTGGTGCGGTCCCCAGCAGAGGACCGAGGGAATGCGCACCACTGACGAGCCCCGATCGAGTATAATCATCGACCGATGCTTTCCTGGATTGCAGTTCAGCTGATCGGGCTTGTGGACAGCTGGAATGAACCATCACCTAGATTTGTCAATCAGACGTATATACCAATCCGAGCGGTAGTGAAGCTATGAAACTGTACAAAATATGCAGCGGCCAGCAGTTGATGAGCCTGCGCACCAGCATTGACAGCACTGTGGTTAACAAAACATTCACCGAACATCATCATTTCATCATTATTCATGTTAGCTAGAGGTGAGAAACACCTCAGCTACCGTGCGGAAGAAAAAAGGAGAGAGAAAAAATGCAATTGGCGCAAACCGGCTGAGCTACCGGTAATGGATGGGCCTAGTTGCGATAAGCTACCTACCGGCTACTAAGTAGCAAAAAAAATTACAATGCAAAATTATATAAGGCTAAATAGTGAGATCGTGGTTGGAGGGGAGGCTAAGAGGGATGGGGTGGGACAAAGAAACTCACAGCAGGAACGCGACTGAAGTCGGCTCCTTGCCATGCCGGCAAGTGTATCTAGCCAAACGTGTTCATCGTCTTTCGGACCCCATCCAAGGTCAGGAGCATAAAGGAGTGAATGTCAAAGTTAGCTGCGGTCGGGCGCTTTCGGCTCCTTGGCTGGTGTGTGATAGATCCAGAACACGCATGGCTGGAAACAGTCTCGGATATAGCAAGAAACGGTGTGCAATGGCGAACTTGTTGTGGCTCAATATTCCCTTAAAAGCCATTTTTTCCTATCGCCTCGATTGCTTGTTGTATTTTCCATACCTTGTGGCACTATAGCAATTGTACTATTGGCGGTGTTGAGTATATATATATATATATATATATATATATATATATATATATTCATTATACATGTAAGCTAGGGGTGGGAAACACCACAGCTACTGTGCCGCAATACACAAAGGAAAAGTTAAAATAAACACCCCAGTTCCATACCAGCTGAGCTACCAGCAACCGATACGTATCGTACCGGTAAGCTACCAGCCAGGTACCAGACAAAAAGAAAATTATTATGTTTCACGCCACGAAATGGGATCATAGATGAAGGGTGAGGCTAAAAGGGATGGGGCGGGACAAAGAAACTCACAGCACGAACGCCACTGAGATCGGCTCCTTGCCATGTCAGCAAGTGTATCCAGCCAAACATGTTCACCGTCTTTTGGACCCCAACCAGGGAGCCGTGAAGCTCCAACCGAGACTAGCTCTGAAGCGAGGGACTTCATTACCCTGGACCAAGTCATCGCTTGGCCACCTCTCCTCTTCCACCCACATCCCCGGTAAGCAAACAACGCACGTCGCGGGAGTCGATGGGCTGGCATGCGTAACACGTGGCCGAGCCATCGGAGCCTGGTGCGGGAAATAACAGTGCTGAGCGGTTCATTTCCTTTTCCTGTGCCATAAACAAGGCGTCGAACACGATCGTTACTCACGCGGTGTTCCCACCATATGTGAGCCAAACTGCGAAGGCACCGATGGTCGAACGTAACTAGCCTCTTCATGTCCGCCGACCTTAGGGGACAGGTTTCGCAACCGTACAGTAACGTCGAACGTACCGCTGCATTGTACACTCTACCCTTCAGCGCAAGAGTGATGCCGCGCCGCCGCCATAAGTGGCGAAGATCAGCAAAAGCACTTCGAGCTTTCGCTATACGGTTCGTGATCTCGTCTTCGATCCCAAGGGCGCTGATACAACTTCCCAGGTAGTTGAATTTCCGAAAGACTTCTAGCTGATCCCAACCAAGGGTCGGCGCAGGAGGCGATCCCTGCCAATCTTGGAGGAACGCTTTGTATTTCGATGGTGCAAATCAAAGCCCGAAGCAGCTGACAGCCAGTACTAATCTGTCCAGCGCCGCTTGCCACGTCTGGGAGCTGTCACAGATGAGGGCAATGTCGTCTGAATACTCCAAATCAAAAAGTCGTTCTCCTGGATGTAACTCCACACCTTCCAAGTCATGTCTTGTAAATGCAGTCTCCATGATTTCGTCGATAGCGAAGTTGGAGAGGAAAGGTGACAGCGGGCATCCTTGTCTCATACCGCTGGAGATATTCAAGGGTAGGGACAGCTTGCCGTAAGCCCTCACTCTGTCCGTGCTACGTGCGTATAATACTTGCATTACATTTACATATTTCTCGGGCACACCTTTCCTGAGTAGACAATTCCGAAGGGCACATCCATCAACCGAATCGAAGACACATTTGATGTCGAGGAACACGACAACGGTGGGCCGCCAATATTTGTGACAGTGCTAAGACAAATGACGCAAAGTGAAGATGTGGTCAATGCAGCCAAGACCTAGACGAAATCCGGATTGCTCTTCACGAATCTGGCTCTCACGAGTGCCAGTCAGTCTGTGAAGGATGACAGAGGCAAGCAATCTGGAGGCGATGGAGATCAGACTGATTCCTCTATGGTTGCCGCATTCCGATCGTGAGCCTCCCTTGAAATTTGGGACTATGACGGAGCGGCTCCAATCGGTTGGGGTAGTCTCCTGCATCCGCAGTTTCATTGGTAACTCGTGCAAATCATCCACAAGTGCAGGCCCCCGAATTTGAAGAGGACAGGAGCTTGATCATCTGGTCCCGCGGCTTTGTTTAACTTCAACAGTTCGATCTCACATTCGACTTCTGAGCGAGAGAGTGGATCCATAGGGGCAGCCCAGGAAGCGGGGCGATCAATGGCCTGCTAGACATCTAACAATTCTAGCCGATTAAATTGCCTTTCAAAGTGCTCAGCCCAACGCTCCAAACGTTTTGGCAAGTCGTGGATAGACTGTCCACTCTCGTCACAAATTGTTTCACTAACAGCAGTTCTCCTGCTGCCCGTTTCCCGCATCAGCCGGAATAACTTACGATGGTTACCAAGGGCAGGGACCATTTCCATCTCGGAAGCACGATGAGACAACCAAGATTCGCGGTCTCTCTTCAGACTATCACGGAGTTTTGCCCGGAACTCTTTGCGAGTTTCACTGTGTTCACTTCCAGCCGGAATATGTCGGCGAGCATCGATAAGTTCCAGGGACTGCGAAGAGACCCAATGTCAACGTTGGCGATTAGACTTACCACATGAGGATTTTCCTGCTGCTAGTAAGGTCTGGTGAATATGAGACCAGTGAGCTTCAATTGCATCCAGTGAGCGTTTATCCAACTCGGATGACAGTGTACTTCGATAAGCATTCAGAACAGCTGGCTTCGCCAGTTGACTGAAGTCAATGCGCTCACAACGTCGTCGTGGGCGTCCGTCAAAGCACATCCGCAGATCAGCACATACAAGTGTATGGTCGGTGTTTACACATGTGCTCCAAATCTAGTGGCAGTTCTGAACGCAACCTCTCCATCGGTAACTTTTCGCAATATGATCGATTCGCGTCCAAATCTGGTTCGAGGCTGGTGGGCGCCAAGTCATCCTCCGGCGGATGCTGTGTCGGAAATTAGTGCGCGCAAGAAATAAGCGAGCATCCTCACACAAATGAAGTAACCATTCACCGTTATCATTACGGGAGCCTACACCATATTGGCCGCCCCTATGCAGCTCATCAGTGGATAATTTTCCAACTTGAGCGTTTAGATCCCCAGCCAGCACTACAGTGTCCGAGCATCTTCTGTGGCTAAGGAGCACGTTCAGAAGTCGTCTTATACAGAGTCACCGCTAGAGTTTGTGTGTGCAGACAGCGATGACGAACAGACACCTGTTAGTCACAGGCGACTTCAAAGCTTTGACCAGCCAGCCAATCGGACCGCACACATCCGGCTGATGATTGGAATCCAATCAACCAGAGTAG